TGCAAAGGCTGTGGCTCCTGCCGTGGTTCCAAAGGCAATAATCAGCACTCACACCTTGGTGCACCAGTGTTGTGTCCCTTGTTAGCTGGTTTGGTGTGGGAGAGCAGGGTGAGCCGTGCACAGGAGGGGATCAGCAGAACATGCCACGAGCACAGACCCACCAGATCCAGGGCAGCTCAGGGGGATTTGCTTCTCCACACTCAAATAAAGAATTTGCCCGGATTCCCCTTCAGGTGCTCCGAGCGGCCGCTTTGTGGCATTCCCGCTGGAATCACGCAGTTATGGCACAAAGGGAATTGGCAGAGCCTGTAGGAAAGTTCATGTTTCGTGTTTAAACGAGGCATGTTGCAGTTTGACTCAGTGCTTTGGGCGAGGAGTTTCCGTGCGCTGGTTCCCCGCACGCCCGCGGGGCTCTCGCTCGCGGCCAAGGCGTTCCTGGGCAGCTCCCTGTGGTCACCAGAGTCCCTTCAGAGCCCACTCCTGCTTCTGAAAAGGCTGAGAGGAGCAGGAGATGTGATGGGCAACCCTCCTGTCCCTCTTGGTTGAGCCTCAGGGTCTGACATCACACGAGATCAATGCATCCCATTGATCAGGATGGGTCTTTTATCAATTCCAATCCCCAGGTCGTTTCCCCTCCTCTCTTCTCTGTAATTTTTGCTCACACTTATGTTGCAATACGCAAGGTGAGGCTCAAAACTGTCAAGCCCTTTAATAGAACCATTACTGTATTTTTGGAGAACGTTCTCTTTTTGATTTACTGTTCCTTAGAAGACAGGAAATGGAGCTACTTGATTTCATATTTTAAACAAAGCCATCCAGAGGTTTAATGAAAAAAATTTCCCTTGGCTTTTGAATTAAAGGGCTATGGTGAAAGATTTAGCTTGGCTATTTTGACTTAGAAAAATAACACACTAGAAGCATTAAAACATTTTGTAAAAATACTTTTTTACTACTAGATTTTTTTTTTCAGAGAAGAAAAGGAGTTTCTCTGGTTTTCTCGCTCTTGGTTGGTGGGGCTGTGGAAAGGACATTTCCAAGATTTAGGGTGGGTTTTCTTTTTCTTTCTTCTGTAGAATTTATTTTGCTTTTATATTAAAAGCCTTGAAACAATTTCAATGCTAAAGACAAATCCTGTGTGTCTAAGAAAGGTAATTTGGAGTGAGTAATGACAGAAGCCTTTGCCATTAATAAAATGCAAGAAATGTTAAGCAGAAAGATGGGAACCTGATTCTGCTCCATCAGCAGTGGCAAGAGAAAAGGGTGGTGCCCCTTGAGAGGCAAATGCCTGTGGAAAGAGAGAAGTAGGAGATTGATTTCAGGCAAGAATTAAAGTTCTATTAGGAAAATTCTGTGCATTAAGCAGAATTAGCTCAGAGCATTTGGGCTGGAATTGCAAAACAAAGCACTTTTGACCCATATTGTCAAGACAAGGGTCCTGTTTGTTCCATTTGGGTGCATTTGGGGTTCTGGCATGATGCTTGGACATCATACAGGGGTGGCTGATGATCTTCATTCCCACCCAGTTTCATCTTCAATAAATAAAGTAGAAGTGAGTATTCTGCAAGCTTGAAAGCACCGTGCAGTAGGATGAAATATTGACACAATTTTAAGTCAGTAAGTCTGTGATTTAATGAGATTTCACCAGGATTTCACTAGTAATTGCTAGACTCACATAATGCCTACTTTGCTCACCCTTGAGTTGTTCCTAAATGAATTTGCTCCTTTTAGGTGGAACCTGTTCCCCAGCCAAAGCTGTATCCGGGCCGGGGGGACAGAGGGAAGTCTGGGCTTCACACGTCAGGGGCTGATATTGGTGGCTGTCAGGAGGGTTTCAGCAGGCTGTCAGCCTGCCTCCCTCAACCCTCAGTAATCCCTGGAATCAGCAGGAGCTTTCTCAGCCCCTTGGTTCTGTGGTTATGTTCTGGCTTTGGTAATTCTGAGGGCAGGACGCTCCACCGAGGTTTATTTGTAAACTCCTCGCTGGCCGGCGATGGGGAATTTGATACTTTATCAAGTGAGATACTGGGATTGACAAGGGGAGAGCGAGGCAGCCAGAAGGAGAGATTACAATATAATAAATAGCAGAGATAGGGTGAGCTGCTATCAGTGGAAGTTTAATGCCATTAGCCCCTGTGCCGTTGGGAATGATGTATTTAGGGAATGATGTAGGAGGGCAAGGCACCCAAAGGCTCCTGGCAGCAAGCAGCCCATTGCCATGTCACACACTCCAGACTCACTTTCCAAAGTGTGTACAACTCCAGACTCACTTTCCAAGGTGTTAAAACACCCAGAACTTAATTCTGCCTTGAAAATAAGATTTAATTCTTTTACTCTGATACATGTGCTGCCTGCTGATGCACTGGCAAGAGGAACAGGAAGGTCCGTGACAATAAATCTCGTTTTTCCTGAAACTGTTTTATTTTACATCAGAGAGGGACAGAGCCAGGGATTTACGGGAGGAAAGGCCATTCCTTTTTCTACCCCCATGTCCTGAATAACTTCAGTCACAGTCTGCACGTTCAGCTTTACCTGGAACCCATTTTATCTGTATTGAAATAAAGGGGAATTTGTGGCTTCCAGTGCAGCACAGAGCAGATGATGGTGCAAGGACCTCCTCTGCCTGCTACAGGCAGAGTGATCACCCACGGGCTACAGTGGTGGCTGCTGAGGTGGCTGCTGAATCCAGCTGGATGTCTGGATATCAATGGTCTTGCCAGATGTGTGCTGCTACCACAGAGAAGGAGTGAAAAGGGAGGAAAGATAAAACTACAGCTGCCTCAGCCCTACAATTTTTTTTTTTACAAGCAAACTTTCAGTGCAGTTAATCCCTCTAACCTGCATTTGCATTAACACTTGCAGCCTCACACATTGCTGCTAAGAAGTTTTGGCAGCTCCTGGCCCTGATTGCAGAGGTAACGCTGCACTTGTCTCCTTTGCTCTCACTCAAGGATCTCAGGAGCCAGAGCCCGACACTCCATGAAGTTTCTCCTTGTACACACAAGCAGGCATCTTGGCAGAGCTTCAAAAGCCATTTGCCTTATTATTCATATGTCTGCTTATAGGAGCAGAAATGCTCCCATTTCTCACTTTTGGAATAAAGGCTGACACCAGGAAAGAGGAGATTTCTCATCTCTGGCTCAAACCTGTGGGAGCTCATCGTGTCCCTGCTGCTTCCCAGAGGTTTGGGAAGCAGGTTTTAAAGTCCTCCTGATTACTCTCAGGGTACATGAACAGCTCTGTTAAAACCAACCAAAATCCGTGGGGTCTTGGAGAGGGGTTCTCAGGGCTGCATGAAACTGTAGATGGAAAACTTGGGGAAAAAAAGCTTAAAAAAAAAAAAAACAACAAATTTTGCTTTTCCTCCTGCCTTCAGGAGAGCTGACATCATGAAAATGCTGTAGAGATTTAAATATCATCGAAATTATTTTGCCTTCTCCCTGCATTTTCTCAAGCAAGCTTCAAGAACCCTCGCTTTAAAACAAATTAGTAGACTGGAGCAACCTCATAAATCCAGAGAGCCATTAAAAATTGAAATATTTGGTCATTCCTCCTCTGGGTTTAAACTGGGATTCATCCAGAGTTCAAGTGCATGTATCACACGAGAGCCACGGTCCCGTTTTGGAGAGGTCCATTTCAGCCTTGATGGTTTTCTAGTGCCAGGAATCCGCTCCAGCCAGCCCAGGAGATAAATCAACACCAATGAAATTCAGGAGCCAGAAGTCACCACTGCAGCCCATATAAATCCCTGAATGCCAGCCCTGGCGCTTTTGTCCGTGCCATTAGAGCTCAGAATTATCTGCCCCTCTTTGCTGATGTATGGATTAAGCGGCTGGCCGAGTGTTTACCAACGCTTATCACCCGCTACTTCGGACCTTATCAGAGGAAGGGCCGCCTGCCGTGGGGCTTGGTCTCTCACCCTTTCTATTACCACCTGTCAGTGGCAGGGAGTGTGCTGTGAGGCTGTACAGTCACAGACTACAAGTGTAGATAGTTTCTGACGGCTGATCAAAGGGGAAAACCAAAGGCCTGATAACAAGGACGTGTTTCATGTACTTTTAACTCTGAGAAACATTGGCATTTGCATTTTTTCCCCTCGGTAGGCTGGCAGAAACCAGGCACAATAAATGCTGCATATTCAGTTACCTAATAGTGGAGTAAATGGTATGTGCTTGAAGCAACAAAGCATAACTGTAATCTTGTTCCAAGTGGGAATGATTTAAGTAAGCCTTCGCAGAAGTCTTGCCGTATAATAAAGGAGAATAATTTTAATTTGTACTTTGAAGTGATCCTGAATTCAGAATCTAATCTTTGCATTCGGCAGAACATCATACCCTGCTGTGAATGAGGTAATAACTGCAAGTCAAGGAATTATTTGAAGGATCTTTTGTAGGTACGTGCGCTCCCTCACAAGAACCAGAGTTTCAGTAGGGGCTGCTGGTGAAGGAGCCTCTGTTAGAGCACGTTTGACCTAAAACTTCCCAGTGCAGGAGGACAGAAAACCCACAGGGATCCCAGACTGAGGGAAGGGATCTGTTTGTTCCTTCATCACACACAAGGCAGCTCTGCTTCTTCTCTGTTTCAGAGCAAGAAAGGGATTTTAGCTAAAATTTCTGCCCTTTAGCAAAGACAAAATGACTCTTCCCACTGTCCAAAATGAGGAGGAGGATGAAACATCTCAGCAGCAGCCCAGTGGAAGAATAATTCAAAAATAATTCCTGGTTGTCTAACATAAAAATATATGCATGCCATTCATATTTGTGTTATTGTGCTGCTTTCCTGACTCTCACCAGTGTGAGACCAGAATTGGGTCTGTATTTTAATTTCACCTTTTTGATCACAGCTGCTTGGTCGAAGCTGGTTCATGCTTTGTGTTCTACCGTGCTGTGCTGGAAACAGCGAGGTTTTAACTCGTGTGCTGAAATCAGCATTTCAGGCACCCAAACCACACGGGAGGAGCTGGTGCCAGGGTGTCCCACACGTGTCCCCTTTGTCTGTTGAAGGTGCCTTCGACCGGAGCGTGACCTTGCTGGAGGTGTGTGGGAGCTGGCCCGAGAACTTCGGTCTGCGCCACATGTCCTCCATGGAGCACAGCGAGGAGGGGCTGCGGGAGCGCCTGGCCGACGCGATGTGCGAATCCCCCAGCAGGGACATGGTGGGATCAGGAACAGGTACAAAGAAGAGGTGTGATCAGAGATCACGTACATCTCACCCAATGGTGATTTTTTATTTAATTTTTTTTTTTTTTTTTTTAAAGTTTCGCTTTTTGCTTTGCTCTGTACGCTCCTCTCTCTCTCTCTCTCTCTCTCTGATTAATTGACTTTGGTGGGGATCTCAGTGGGACGGAAGTCATTTATAAAAAGAAGTTAGTGGTAGATCACATAAACACAGCCTGAGATATTGGCACATGGAGCTTCCTTATCATCTAGCTGGGGCAAGGGCTCTCCTGCATCCCCTCCTGTGCAGATTGCTGCCCTTGCCCACCCTGCTCCAAACAATGCCATAATCACACATATCCTCATTTTGTGTCCTGAATAGAGCCACTGTGAAGCTCTGGTTCTGTAATCCAAATTAATCCATCTTCATCAGTGTCCATTATATTGATAAATTGTATCATCTGTTTAACTAAATGGAATGGCACATCAGAGATTACGCTGTCAGAAGGGGCCCCGTGGTAGGAGATGCTCAGAAATTAAAGCGCGGTTACTGCGGGTTTATTGTCTCCATTAATTGTGACCTGTTCCAAAAAACACCTCCAGTAAAAACACCTCAGGGTGATGGTGGTCCCTAACATCAGCTGCCAACTGACTTGTCAGTCTCCTGGCAGCTTGGCTGGGAAGGCAAAAGAGGAGGAACCAGCAGGAAGGTGTGGGAATGCCAACCCATGGATCTTTCAGGAAGAGCAGGAGCTGTCTCTTCCTTTTGCCCTTGCCCTCTTGTATCACTGAGGGTCTTGTGCTGCTCTGAGCTCTCCCTGCTCCTCGAGATCTCCCATCAGGGAGATCCCATCCTGACTTTGCTCACTGTGGAGCAGGAACCAAACTGCAGCAACTTCCCACAGCCTGGAGGAGGAGGAGGATGCAGAGGAGCAGGATTTCAGCCCTTGTCTGTAGGTACAGGCAGCAGTAACCAGGCTGAGCAGTGCAGAAACACCTCCATACCCCAGCTGGTCACCTTCCCAACTGCCCTTCCTCCGATTTCCATCCTGAGAGAGATGAAGTCAAAGGATGAGTTAGATTTGGAATTAACAGAAAGGCTTGGTTGAACACTAAGGGTGGGTCTGCTGGTGCAAATCCTCACCAGCTTTTTGCCTTGGCCAAGGCACTTCATGAGTCCATGACTCCAGAGCTCCACCAGAGCAGTGAGGATAGAGATGCCTCACATTGCTGGTGTGGACTTTAATCAGTTCATGACTGTAAAGGGCTGGGAAGGTGGAAAAAGCAGGCTGTGAAAATAGAGAAAGGCACATATTTCATCACTTACTGACCCAGGCTGTGATCAGTGTGAACTTTGGGAGGGTATCCACTGCTGATAATGGGTCAGCACCCCTTGGGCTGTGTGTGGAAGGGGAAAGGTGAGGGGAATACCTCCTCTGAAAGCTGAAGCCTTCCAGATGTGCCAGGTTAGGGTGACTGACTGCCCTGGAGACTTGACAGTGTATTATATTGTCAACCAAGAACTTTGTCAGAGACAGGGCTCTGTATTTTCCTTCCATTTTCACCAAACCCAGCTGATGGCAGCGAGTGCCAGCTTCTTTGGCATGAGGCTCTCAGTACTGCAGGTGTAAAGACAGAAAGGAGTTGTTTATAGAGATGCCATCACTGAGTTAATATTCATCCAAAGAGATTTGTCCCAGCCCTTGCTCCAGACCCATAAATCTCCCTAATGAGTGTAAGATAGATGCCATCTCAGAGCAGCGATTTTACACAGCAATAATGAGTAACATGAGCACTGACCCAACTCACCCCATCCCACCACCCTCCTCTCCCTGTCATTAACACTCTGTGTTGCCCTGCCTGTCATGGGATTCTCTCCACCACTAACACACTTTATTCTCAGGATTTGGGCATGTGGTGACTCAGAGCAGCAGAGAAAACCTGGTGATAAGAGGGTGAACTCCTGTGCCCTTTCCACTTCCATCCCCTAACAGCTCTTGAGCTGTTCCTCTTTAGCAGACAGACAGAAAAAGTTCCCTCCTGCTCAGATGTACCTGGAGAGCTGCACTCAGCGAGGGAGTGGCCTGGAGCTGGCTGCCAGCACCATTCCTCAGCCTGGGGAGCGCAGGGAAGGGCTCACATCTGTCTGCTGCTTAACAAATGGGCAGAGATAAGTGTGGAGCTGCATTACCCTCACTTCAAAAAAGAGGTGTCTTTGTTGGCTCATATCAAGTAGGAGAGTTTTCACTTCCCCCAAACCACTTACATCGTAACCAAGCTTGGCTGAACTGAATTATCTTTGAAAAAAATTCAGTTTTCCTCACTGGGCTCTCTGCTGCCCACTCACCACAGTGAAATGACAGCAGAGTTCAGCTGAAAAGAACACTGGAGGTTTGCTTGTTTGTAGTTGATTTCTGTCTTGCTGCTTCTTTCAAAACCAGTGATTATATTTCTGCATTGGACTCAAAATTGTGGAATTTATGATCCTTTAATAATCTTAAAATAACTTATTTTAATTTATTCATGCCTTTATGTTACGCATGTTTTAACCCCTCTTTGCACTCTGTGGATTCTCTTCAGTCCTTAAATAGATTCTGCAGAGGTTTGACAAAACTTCCAAAGCCTAACTCAAACTTCAGCCCAAATTAATGAACATTTCTAGCTGGGAATGTGAAGATTTGTGCATGTGCAGTGCTGGAGGCCAATGTGTGGACAAAAACTGGGCAGTAGGGTGGACAGTGAGACTTTGTCAAGTGCTCCACTGGTCCTGACATGCGCCTAATGGCAAGAGATAAATAGATTCTTTTAATGCCTTAACTGTTAGGGCATAGCTGACAGTAGGTTTATATAGAAATCAGGGCTGATAGGCTGCAGTGGTGTGGAGGAAGTGTGTGCTCGTGCTGCACAGACCACTTTGGGGAGCTGATATTCCCAGAATCTGTTTTCTACCTGCCCTGCTGCATTGCAGAGCAGGGGTGGCAACACCAACCCTGGCTCTGGCTACTGGCAGAGGCAGAAATGCCCAAAAGTTGGTCACAGCACAAACATCAAACTGGAGGATGCTGAAAGCATCAGGAATAATCTGGAATTAGCAGGGAAGGGGGATTAAATGGGGCTTTTCTGCCTCCAACTCCGTGCCAAGGGCTGTCGGACAGTGGGTGGGAGAAGAACCAGGTCTGGAAAAATGACTCCCCCAAAAATCTCCTTTCCTTGTGACCTAAATGATAACTCCAGTTGTCCAGTTAGTTGGCTTGATTGGGAAGCCAGCTTTTCCTCCTGTTATCCAATTATTCAGACGACCCATGTCTATCTGAGCTGGAGTCTGCTGTACATAAGCTGTCAGCCCAGATACACATTTAATTCCAAGGAAGGCGTAAATTGGCAAAGATGCAAAAAGATGTTTTTTCTGTTTCGGTTTCTGTCAAACTCTCACTGGAAAGAAAAAATTACACAAGTCTAGACACAAATGTTAGTGGTCAGTGCCCTCTTTTGCTTGCAAAGCTTTGTTTTCAAGCAGCTACAATATTTACATTTGCAGTGCAGTTCTCAAGTGTGTGCTGGAGCTTCATATTGCATTCCCCCCCCAAAAAAAACCACCCTGGGACTATGATTTATGAAACTCTGCTTCCAGGAGAGAAATATCTCTGACAGGATTCCACTCAAACTGGACAGGAAGAAATTGCCAGCTCAGGCTAGAAATCTTTCTGTCCCAAAATACTGTAATTAGTAAATCCTCTGATTAACCTATTCCTTCAGCAAGTATGTTTTTTAAGCTTTCCAGTGCATTTTGATCACTTCTAGGCTTAATATTTGAAATCAGCCTATAATAGGGGAGCAACAGGATGTTTTTTGGAAAGCATCTTTCTTCCAAAACTCCTGCAAAGCTCCGAGCCAGCTCTCACCCGCGGGAAGCCGGTGGCACAGGGAGGTGCACCTCGGAGGAAACCGCCTGGATTCCTTCCAGATTTCATGAACAAACTCATAATGGGCTGAAGGAAGCTCATATGTTGAAGCAAACTCTTTAACCTGATTAATGGGATGTAAGTAAGTGGAGCTAATTAGATGTGCTGTTAGGGAATGGCCCGTAGGAAACCCGGGATCGGGGCTCCAGGCACTTGGGATCCTGGTCCCCTGCCAAAACCTGAGCCTAACTTGGGTCTGGGCACCTCTGAGCTTTGCACAGGGATGGCTTTGAAACCTTCCTGTGAAATTTAGGGTTTGGAGAAGGGAAGTCACACATTTCCTGGGGTGTCTGGCTGAGGTGGGAAGCAAAGGGAGGAGAGCAAACTGGTGGCTCCCATGCAAGGACCATCCTTCCTGGGGTTTTTTCCAGAGGAGAAAATACCTGTGCTCACAAGCTTTGTTCAAACATCAGCAGCCACCTGGACACAGATGTACCTGTACATTTAGTTTCAGGAATAGGATCAGCCCTTTAGACAGAGCTTTCAGTGGTACCTTCCCCTCCCTCCCTCTCTCCTTCCCTCCCTCCCTCCCTTCTTTCCTTCCTTTCTTCCTTCCTTCCTTCCTCTTTAAATTTTCTAAGACAATTTTCCCATTTTCTCTCCTCAGCTGTTTTTTATCCTAACTCAGACAAGGGCTATGGATAAACAGAGCAAATTATTTTCCCCCTGAAGAGCAATTCTGCCAGGAGATTTCTGCATAGGTTCAGTGCAAAAGCAGCTTGGGCAGCAAACCCACTGGTGGATCAAATAACATCGATGCTAAAAGCAGCCTTTGAACTTTCAGAATATTCATCCCAGAGTCAGAGATTAAATTACCCCCTCCAATAAGTCTGGGAACTCAGTGCAGTCCTTCCTACAAAAGGTTTATTTCGATGGGCCTGGTTGAAAAGAAAGGAAAATTCAGGCTCTTTAGGAGCCACCATTTCAGAAGTGCTGGGTGAGAGGAGCATTGGCCTTGCACACATTTTGGGATATCAAGCACTTCAGTGTGGGTTTCTTGCTCTCTCCTGTCCAAGGGTGTCCCTGAGCAGCCCCATCCCACAGCCCTGGGCAGGCCTAACAAGGGCATTTGTAATTTCCCAATAATTTCCCATGTCTCCAAATCCAGTCTTACCACCAGCCCTGGGAGGGTTCACTGGTTTTTCCTTCCATTATTTGAGAGGAGAGGGTGTGAATGATGAATACTGAACCATGTGAATAGTGAACCATGAATATTTCTGATGTGAATTCAGGTTCATTGCTATTTGTAGAGAAATTCTAAAAGGAACACTGAAGCCACAAAACAACTCTGACTTTCTGTCTTTTGATAACAAATTTGATCAACTGCATTTGCTTCTTATCAACTGTGGTGTGGGGAGATTCCTTTTCTTTTTCTTCTTATTAAATCAAGGCATTTTTTTAAGAAATATTTTATTTTTGATACAGACACAGCCGGTGAAGTAGCAGTAAAAAACATCACCACAAAGAGGCACATGGCTTTGAAATGTTTTGGTATGTAACATAACTGTATTGTTATCAGGTCTTAACTTTTGCACAAAGAGTATTTTCCCTTGTTCTAAAAGCAAACCCTCTCTCAGCTTTCCAAGGGCCACGTACCTTAACATGGCCATGGGGGGACAAACCAAAAAATATCAAAGTGTCTCAAGTCATTTCACAAATAACATTGTTCTGTTGGTCTCCTTAAATGAACAGGAGTTTCTTTGATTTTTTTTTTTTTTTTTTAAGTCAAATTTAGGATTCTGCTGTTCAGAGCAGAGAGGTCACAAGGCCCTAATGTATTTAGCATTGACTGCCCTCTCTTGTAGTGCGTCTATTAGTCAGTAATTTGATTTGTACCTATTCATTTGCAGTCCCTGCAGGAGCTCTGAGCTGGCCCCAAGTATAATTGGTGCTGTCTCTATTTTTACATCATTAGATTAGCCCCGACTCCTGGCCACTTGTTGTCTGCGCTTGTCTGTCCATTTATACAACCTAATGTAACACAAAATTCATTACTGATCACATTACTTTCAACTCTGAAGCCAGCTTTGTGATAAACATTTTGTTAACCCTTCCCTGCCAGCACACAGACCTGGGGGATAAATGCACTTTCCCCTCTGCAGGAAAAATCAATATCATAATAAAAGAAAGTGCAGTCACATTCCTGGATTTGTCATTCCTCCCGGAGAAAGAAATGGGGAGGAACATATAGGAGATGACTAAATGGTGTCTGCATCCAGGCATCTCACTCTGCTCGATATGGAATGAGCTCAGCAGTGTCCTTTCCACTGGAATATAAAGAAGTGACACGAGATAGGGCCAGCACTCAATTTAAAACTTAATTTCTTACTCATTGTTCTGCAAGTGTTTTAGCTCTTCTGGTCAGGCCCTAATCAGGTTATGACATTATTGGAACTGGACATTTTTCTTCCAGTGCTTTGTCTCAAAAGCAGTGAACAGACACACAGTTCCCTTTTTCCTTGGAGATTTGCTGCTGTGTTGGGTTTTTTTGGTTTGCTCGGGGTTGTGGTTTTTCCTCCTAATGATTAAGCAAATTAACTGGAGCACTCCAGAATTTCACAGGAAAATTCAAAGCTCTGCCCTGTCTAGTTTGGCTTTGCTCACATTTGATTGTCTGCTGAGTTTCTCCTAAAGCTGTTTGCATCCCTGAGGCTTCTGCTGCTGATTCCAGGGGGAGGAAGAGGAGAGCCAGGGTAGGTATTCCAGCCAGGGCTGAGCATCCTCCCAGCTCTGCTTGCAGCATCCTGCCCAGGAGGTGATTCCCGCTACCCAAATATATTTTGGTGCACGCAAAAGCTGTTGGGTTTTTAACAAGTTTCCTAAATTCATCTTCTGTTTGCACAGCTTGGCTTGGAAAGCTGTTATTTTGGGTTTTCTAAATATTTAGAAATATTTCTCAGTGTTTATTAAATCTTCCCTTTAAAAGTCCGAGGCCTGAAGCCTGCCCCACACCGAGCGCTCCCACACTGGGAAGGGGGCAGGAGACAACAGGATTTTTCCATCTGTAATTCCTATAATTACCTTGTCATTCCTTTTAAGAGTCTTTCTATGGTGTTTTTGTGTAGGATATGACTTATGGCAAGCATATCTCTCTCAGAAAGTACAAGAGCCCTCGTCTCCCAGCATTTGAACCAGGACTGGTATTTTTACAGCTGTTTTGTGAGCCAAAACCTCTTGCAGCTGCTGAGGTGGTGGCAGAATAAAGACAAGACAGTTCCTGTCCCTCCTCCCAAGCCCAGCAGCCCCAGAGAGCCGTTGAGTATTTGCTGATTTTTGGGATGTGCAGCACAGGCCATCACAAAGCTCTCATAAACTGTGCATTGCCCTCTCCAGGGGAGATGGGAGAGGAGGCTGTGCAATGGAAACCCATTTGTGCAATAAATTGTTAAGCAGTCAAACTGTTAAATGAACACTTATTAGAGAGGTAGGATGAAGAATGAGTCACCAAACAGCAAAATACACATTAACACAGCAAACCCTCTGCAGGAAATGGAAAGTCAAGAGCCAAGGCAATGCAAACATTCCAGTGTGAGCCAACCCTCTGGCCCTGCAGCTTCCAGTCCTCTCAGCCCTTCTCCCACCACAGGATGTGTTCCTGGTGCTTTGGCACAGGTCCTTTGGGGAGCTCCAAAGTGCCAGCTCTGCCAGCTCCAGGTGCTTTTCCCTTTGGATGCTGTATCATTCCCTGTCCCTGCAGCTGTGCCCTCAGCTCCCATCACCCCTGCACCTTTCTCTAACAGAATATCACACCAAGAGTCACCTGATTTTCCCAATAATCCCACTTTGCTCTCCATACTGGAGTGGGAGAGCATCAGGCCTCGCTGGACAGTGATGGTGTTGGGTGTTTGATGTTCACAGTGTGCCTTAGGGGATATGGGCAGGCAGAAGGACAGGGCCAGGGAAAATGAGAAGCAAACCCAAAGGGATTCTGGCTGGGGAAGGATCTCAGTGGTCACTGGAGGCTCCCTGGAGCACCCCCATGGGATCAGCTCTGGTGGCTGCCCCGGGGGGAAGGAGGGTTGTGGCCAGGTCCCTGGCAATGCTGGGAACACTTAGTCCTCCTTGAAGTATATATCCTAATTTGTGGTATGAAAAGATTAGCTTTCCTTCCATTCCTAGCCTGCTGTCTCCCCACCATGGATAATATATAAAACAGTAGACTTTTATTCATTAACATTTATGGGAAAATGTTAATATTAAACTGTAAGTGAAAAGCCCCATCTTATTGAATTCTTCTGCTGTGTTATTGGGAGCCTAATTTCATTTTGCATTTAAATAAAAACCAGATGACGTTCAGGACGGTCAGGCAAGCATTCTGTAAGTGAGAATTTATCTTGCTATCTGGGTAAACAATGTCTCATCATTTAACAGTTATTATAAATAATGGGGTTTTAAGCACTTTGCTGGGAGTTCATATTGGCTCCACACGGGTTGCACTAAGGGAGAGAGAATTTCAGTGACATCTTCCAGGCATCCGGTGAGGAGGAATCATATCCTGAGCTCGCTTCTCAAGCTGCAGTTTTCATCTTCTTCTGGTTATTATTGCTCAATATTGTGTGCACCATCCACTGACCAAAAAAAATGAAGAGGAAGGAAAGTGACAAATTAGTTGGAAGCGTTTTGAAAATCAAGAAGCCCCTGTTTGAAGCATAAATGGGGAATGTGTTCAGCCCCCTGCAGATGTTCATGCAGGTAGCTGAGCCTCCAAAAGGGAGATTCTTTCAGTAAAAATGGGGCTTTGTAAAAGTGGTGCCTTTGCAGGGAGTGAAAAAGATGTTGAGGTAAAACATGAGGACAGAAAGATCCTAAAGCTGCTTTTTTCTGTGTTTCTGCTGGTGCCCTCTGAAATGACATCACTGGTGGTTTTATGCTTGGGAACGTGTGAGGTAGCTTATAAAAAGAGTAAAAGCTGCCAAAATAGTAAATGGTTTTTCCTCTGCTCCTGTTGCTCCTATTCTGCTTTTCAGTGTTGTCCTTCCCTTGAGGGGCAGCACTCTGGTGCTCTCTGCCTTTGCTCCATGTCCCTCAGACCCCTCCAAGGCATTTCCCACCACAGGCAGGAGCAGCTTCCCTTCCATCTGCCCTGCATCCAGGGGAGGGGGGAATTAACTTTCCATGCAGACAAGGAGCAGCTATCTGCTGTTGTGGAAAGATCCTGAATTTGGGAGCTCCTGGTGCTGCTGGGGACGTGTCACCTCCCTGAGTCCACCTCAGGACATGGACTGCCTGTTGCCTTTTTCTGTGTGACCCATTTTATACCATTTTCCAGAAAGACCCCCACAGCTAAAACACCATCTTCTTCATTTATTTATTTATTTAATATATTTATTTGTTGTTGCCTTGGTCAGTGACTTTCTCAGTAACTGCCCAACCCATGAACTCTGTGTTTACACCAAAACTTGATGGTGTTGTGAAAGACAAAGGGTCAGTATCACTTCTCTGACTCTTTCCAAAAATATTTTTCTGGGAAGGCTTCAGGCAGGACCTGCCCTCCTGCCTCTGCTCCAGCTCGGTGGCATCACAGGGGATCCAGGAGCCAGAGGGGCTGGGGATGGAGAGCCCTGGTTGGGGTGAGTGGCATGGAAATGGTGGCATTTTCCTGAAAAGATTCCCTGTGTTGTGGAGGGTGCTTGGATGTGCTGCTGTGCTGGAATTCTCCTCAGGCAGAGCACAGCATTCCCAGGGATGGCATCTCCCATCAATTCCCACATGGCACAGCTCTTCCTGCTGGGTGCTCCCACCTTGTCAGGTGGAAATGCCATTTGGAAGAACAAATCAAGAGACAAATTAACCTTGCAGCCTTCTTCCCTCATCTGCAGCCATGGAGGCAGCAGGTGAATTGTGCAGGGACAGATCCCTAATTTAAAATTTGGGAGTGCTTTTGGTGCTCCTCTCAGGGCTGCTTTTATCCACAGCCTCTGGGGAAAGAATATTTTGATTATATCATGCCAGGACCGTGTTGTCTCTTTGTTTAACTTTTGGAAATGTGGCTGGTCACCCACCAAAATGTGAGCAAAAAGTCTGCAGAAGAGCACAACACGAGGCCAGGTGTGAACTTCACTGCCAGGTGCCCGAGTACCAGGCAGAATCATGATTTAAATTGCCTTTTCTGGGGGATGTGACCAGAGGAATGCCTTGGTTTGCCATTAGGTATTTCAGATTTCACACAGAGTTACCTTCCACCACCTCCTCCACCAGCTGCAGCTCACCCACACATTTGTAAGAAGATGGAGTGAAATAGAATCAATGCTTGGAACCATTTTTAAAATATGACTTCCAAAAAACAAAAACGTTGAATTTACTATTTCCAGCTGCCTCCTGGTTTCAGGAGCACAAATGTGAATTGCTGTGTTCAACAGCTCCATTAACAAAGGGACAAATTAAGCTTTGAATGTCATTTTTTATCAAGGCTCTTTCATATTTATGTCTAACATCAGAATTTGGAGCTATATAAATAAGAGAGTGTATTAAGAGCCTCAAGCAGCCCTGCA